GAGAGAGAGAGAGAGAGAGAGAGAGAGAGAGAGAGAGAGAGAGAGAGAGAGTGGCAGTGATTGCGATTGGACAAGCACTCGCTCGCGTCTATCACTCCCATTACTCTCTACACAGCCGACAGATTCTGTTTACCATCGCTACTGCGTGTGTGCTGCACGGGGAGACAAAAGTCTAACGCGTACACACAACACACACCGTGACACACTGCACACACTGTGACACACTACACACACCGTGGACAACAGCTGGGGACTCCCATGACGTCATACAACTCCCTACCACAGAATCGCACTGTTTCTAACGGTACAACCTTGGAGTAACTATAGTTACTCCAAGGGTACAACTAACAGTAGCCAACATTGCAGTGACTTAACGGTACTTATACAAGTCTGCTCCAAACCAACGACGGTTTACTTCGTTTTAGTTTTAATAAGAGTTTCACAGCACTTGCAAAGCAATGAGATCACACTAGTGCCGAAGATTAGATCAAGATGTGCTACAAAAAAGTAACAAAACAAAACAAACAAAAAAAAGAAAAAAAGTGAGATAAAGACGATAGATGTTTGATAGGAATGAAGGAGCTAACGAACCACACCAGAAACAATTAAGTATCCCCTACTACACTGTAAAACGCCATCTCTATCCTCTCAATACCGAATGCGGCTTGTCTAAACGTACTGAAAGTAAATACTTGTGAGAGTATGGATTTTAACGATGTAATAACTACAGAAATATGGCTGCCTAAAGGCAAGGGGTCTTAGGATAGGAAGTATGATACAAAAAAAAGTCACATACGTATAAAAATCAGTTGCACTGCTGGCTGAAGAACCAGCAGTCGGCTACCCCTGAGATCTATTACTATTAGATCTAGGGGAAGGCAAAGAAGAAAGAGAATGGATATAACGCTCCGGTCAACAGCTTCACCGCGTCCGCCGGTTAGATTTGCATTAAACAATCTATTAATTTACATATGGAAGTGTCTACGTACTCCTCGATTGGGGTCTACGTAGTCATGGTGTCTAGGTGGACCCCAAAAATCTTGGATTGTGACTGGCTCGCAAGGCTGCTACTGCTATGCCTACTTACTGATCATCTCGGGTAGTGATTGGATTTATCTTGTGTTACTATAATTAATTAATTTTAGTCGAGAGAGAGAGAGAGAGAGAGAGAGAGAGAGAGAGAGAGAGAGAGAGAGAGGGAGAGAGAGAGTACGTAGACACTTCCTTTACATCAAGACATGGTGGCGTTCTTGACTCGAAGCTCACAATCATATGAATAATAGCTTGTTCACTTTCGCCTAACCGCGGTCAAAACGAAATAAAAATGATTATTCTTCTCAGGTATTTACCTACGGGTCTAAAAGTTGGATGACCAACATAATCTAAAAGCCAATTCACAAAGGTTACTGCCGAATAAGGTTGCGATGAATTTTTTCTTTGTTGATGTAAGCCTAAGCCGGGAAAAAAATAATAGGGGATTTAAGCACAAGCCTAAAACATTGAAAAGTTGACATAATTTCCTCAATGTCACACTTGTTCGCCAAAGAACACGATTCAACTAATTCAAGAGACGGGGTGAGTAATTGTCGAGACTCACGTGGAGCACGTGGAGACGTCTAGACAGCCGAGAGATGCAATCTACAAGCTAACACTAACACTGAAATGTTGGGGTAGGGTGGAGTCACTGTTTCAAAATGAGCAATTTGTAAGCAAAGTTACAGTAAGTCGCTTATTTTAGTGGGACTGTACATGCATCCATGAGCAGTTTTTAATATAGGGCCCAAAGAGAAAAAAACCCTTTTATATTACTGTATCAAGATTTTTAAAAACCAATATTTTTTGCTTGGTCGCTGGCCAGCAAAGGTGCCATGCAAAGTTTCGTGGGCATCGGTAGATAAATAAATGAGCGAGATCTAGAGTCTAGAATTTGTAACGCTGTCAGAAGAAAGTGAACAAGCTATCAGGGAAAATTCCGACAGAAATCGCTTGAACGTTTGTACGAATGAAGAGAAGCACACAGACGCCAAACTGTCACATGACACACCGGTCTCCGCTAGTCTTGGAGAGATCAGGCATAATCTAGAAAACCTTCAATATCATAGACCTCGCCTCCCCCC